AGATGGTGGAAGGAAAAAGGGGTTGTGCGTACATGTGGATGGTGAATTAGCATGTGATATTTAGAATGGCTGGTAGGGGGAAATGCCATGATTAGCCGAGTACAGTTCATGGTGTGTGGAGAGGAGGAGAGAGGAGTAGAGCGGAGGGCACCTGAAGGACGGCGAGGAGGGGCGGAGCAGCCAGGGAGGTGAGTGGCTGAACGGCGAGAGTGGAGGCGACATTGGTCATCAGAAAAGAGGGATGAGCGCTTGGAAAGCCACCTGGAGAGATCTAGAGGGAAGGGGGCAACATGACAATGAGAGTAAACAGCTGATGAAGGGCTGTCCGGAGATAGTGGAGGCGAGCTTACTCATCACGAAGTAGGGGATGGGCACTTGGAAGGCCACCTGGGGGACGGAGGGGGAGATGGGAGCAGAGAAGGGTCCCAAAATGGACTTGAAGAGACTTGATGCGACCTTGGCTTGACTTGATCACAGATGATCCGCTCGGCTGCGGTGTAGGTAGCCTCATCATGCGACGGAATGGCATAAACCCACGGCCCCGCCCCCGGGCCGTGAAGGGATGTCAAACGGGACAAGGTGGCATCGTCGTGGGCGATGCCTCGAAGGGACTGCAGATTCTCAACCGCTAGGCGACAGTGTTGCGCAGGGAAAAGTAGTAGTGGAGGGTCAATAGTGCATAAGGCAAGGGGCGGCATCTCCTACCGGACCGGCTGTATAAGTAGCTCCACCGCTCTCGAGAACCAGGGATCCAGCAAGGTCGTAGCCTCATGCGTGCAAAAAAACTCCTCAAATATACGCTCTTCCCCTGCCACCCCCATCCGAGCAACATCACTGCCTGGCACCAACTGCAGACATACAACAAAGGACTGAGGTTGGTTGCAGACCGTATGCCAAAACCTCCCAGTCTGGTAGGAATCTGCTGATGCAGGCGGGCCATCTGCAACTTTCCCGAATTGTGATCCCATGTACCAGGAGGAAACAACTTCTCAAAGCAATCTTCAATGTCCGTGTCCCACTCCCGGACGCCTCCACTACCCCTGGCCGTAGGGGCATCGTCCGCGTGTGATAAATCGGGGGCGCGGGTACCGCGGTCACCAACAGATGAGACGCAATATGTGGGTGGCCAAGCAGAGGAAGCCATGGGACAATTGCCTACGGCTACGTCAGACGGTCTCGCAGGCGAGCCACCTCCTAGTCCTCCTCCCCAATTGGGACACCTACTACGATGAGCCCTGTCCAGGTTTGCTGCATGACGTGCGTACGTGCCTCATTCCTCTCCTCCCTCCTTATCTACCCCTCGCTCCTATAGCTTGCACTTATGTGGCTGCACCTCCAGACCAAGCCCGCCCAGTCGTTCCCGCATTACCTCATAGGCTGCCAACACCCACTTCATGGGCCCCAAAATGTACGTATCATCGGCATAGCTGAGGAAAAGGGGGTCGGCAAATTTCTACTTGGTCGGTTCCATGACCAGCTTCTGTATGAGCGCGAATAGAAACGGCCCCAATGGGTCCCTTTGTCTTGAGCCTACTCGAAAGCCAAAGCCTGGACGAATGGGCCTGCGCAAAAATAGAGGTCGCTAGAGGTGCCATAGAAGACGCGCAAGAATGGAATCCTTCCATCAAAAGGTGGCTGACAAAGGCCTTCAAACATCTCCCGCCGATTGAAAGAGTTGAAAACATTCGCCACGTATATTTGAAGCGCATACAGCGTCGGGTGAGTAGAGATGGCGGAGCGAAAGGCGTGTGCCAGGATGTCCACTCCCGACCTGGACTCGACTCCAAGCTGATTACACGGAGAGAAGTGCGACAACATTTTCAAGCGAATCACGATGCATAGAGACCGAGATAGTATGTGCGAAGCACCTCGCCAATAGCCACTGGACGAACTGTCAGAGGTCCACTGGTGATCCCCGATTGATCCTAGGGAAGGGTTACAGGCTCGTTGTCCTGGGGGGTTATGGGCGCACTGACCCGCTACTTAACAAGCCATTTTATCCTAATGGTCTAGTGGTTGGGATTCTGACATGGTATCAGAGCGGTCTCGGGTTCGAATCCCAGTGTGTGCACTTCGGGCATCCCAGTGCGGGGGGGTGTCAGAGGTCCACTGGTGATCCCCGATTGATCATAGGGAAGGGTTACAGGCTCGTTGTCCTGGGGGGGTATGGGCGCACTGACCCGCTACTTAACAAGCCCTTCTATCCCAATGGTCTAGTGGTTGGGATTCTGACACGAACGTCTCCAATCAGCTTCGATAGACCTACAAAGTTGGACACAGTGAACCAGGGTAGCATACGCTCCGCTACCTCTCTCTTGGTCCACTGTGCAAGGACCCACAACCCCCGAGTGGATTGCCTGGATGAGTGCCTCCAATGATAACTGGGGTATGAGGGACGGCTTGTCTGTCGCCTCCTTAACCCACTCCGGGATGGCAGTCCCGCATGATGGGTGTTTGGTGCGTAGTGAGTCAACCATGAGCTGAGAGGGCTGCGCCATGCTGCCAGCTGTAAGACACGCCAGGCCCCTACCCCATTCTCCCACTTTGCACCTTGTGCGAAAGCGAGCCAAGCGCACCTCATCGAGGTCATGCTAAGAAGGGGTCATGTTTTTTATGTCATGGAATATGCACGTGAACATTAAGTTATAGCGTTGACCTTTCTATCCACGGATGTGAAATCGAATCAAGGTGTAGCACGATTTCCCATGCTTACCTGTTCAGCAAGAATATTCCGTTCTTGTGAAGTGCCTGGTTTGGCATCATCTACATGTCCACTGCTGGTTCGGGTCGACAATGTCGCTGGCGACAAGTCAGCCGCAATACGCCCACCCCCTTGACAGCGCATCATAAATTGCTCCCGTTGCTTACCTGGATCCCTGTGTTCAGCAAGTCTACGAACAGACGATTGGTAGGCGATGCTCCACATGCTTGAGACGGAATATTCCGCCAGCAGGATGTTTGGAATTGGTGAATCTCACTGCAATCGTTGACATGCTGTTTCCACAACGGATCCGAAGTAATCTTTCATGACACCTCGAAGGTATATATTCAAAGGACTGATCGTGTGTTGTTCTGTACACAAACGGACTAGTGGTTTCTTGTGACAAATGGTGACCCCGACGTGAAAATAGGCCTTCACAAATTGAGGGGCATCTTCCGCATCTTCCGCATCTGCCTGTCGCATCTCTCGAGTCGCATAGCATCGCACGAGTGACCCGACGACGACACATCAGCCAGAATCTTCATATTTTCCTCTCAAAGTTCGCTTCAGGATTGGTTGGTGCCTCAGTGTTGCGCCGCCAGCCAGCCACACGATTCTGCTAATCACCACCACCCCCACCGACGAGGGGGTCAGCTCTGTTGTGCAGCACGCCAGTCCGGGTTCACATTTGCACCAATTCCCAAGGCTGCTGGGTCCCACTATTAGCAAGATCAGAAACGGTGAAGTCAGATACAGAACGTTCGGGTACGCTACGGTATGGTAGTTGCAAAGATTCCTGCAAAATTGACACTGCTTGTCTGGTTGACTTGACGCATTCCTTCATCATCCAGCCAACAGAAAGCGTGAGAAATACTCTCGCAGGGGAAGACTGCTTTATCCTAAATCTGTGGCTAGTTCTCGTTCTCATTCTCGAGCTGTTCTAGTTCTCTGCAGGAGGGCACGCACGTTCCGCTTGCTTTTTTATCACCGTCTCAGTGCATCAAACTTCAGTCAATCGCCTGGGCATTTTGTAACCTTCAAGTCTGTCTTGTCAGTGTTGAGACATTGCCTGATCTCTCTGCGCTAGCAGCTCCGCTCCACAAGTTTGAGTCGCATTGACAACGTGATTTATGCTAGAGTTGCTGGAAGCTTAGGTAGTTCTGCTTACGCTCCTCTGGCCTACTCTGTCTACCTCAGCGAGCAGTGAAGTGCTTCAAGCATAGTCTCCAGTTGTATATTTGCTAGGTCGCGAAATCGCTAGGTCGCAAAGTCGCTAGGTTCCGTGAGAAAATATATTTGCAGATCGCCCCCCCGCGAAAACATTGGCACCCTTGAATCATAGAAGCAAATCGTCATGGCGTCCCTCTGTTGCTCAACTGTCAGTCATCGCCTCACCCCCGAGGTTTTGGCTTACCGGTTACATTCCTCTCCCAGACCTTCCCCATTTTGCCCAGCCTCGCCCCCTCTCCACCGTCGTTCCGCTCTCCGCAACCCGTTGCCATTAAGATTCAATCCACTCTATCTATCCCCGTCACAAGCTTCCTCGCCTCCTTATCGTCCCGCGAATGGCATCAGTTGCAGTTTAGTGAATACTAAGGCTCATATTAGAATACATCACACAACGAACTCTGGCATTCCAGATGCAGGTCATACCCCCCCATCCAGCCTTCACGCATCGCTCCCCCGACCTCTCTCGTTCGCTTCAGCGGCAGCCATAAGCGCAGCCCTCGCTTTTTCCTCTCTTCCTGCTCTAGCCGCTGACGTCACCTTCGAGTCGCTTCCGCAAGCGGAATCGGTCTCTTTCCGCGACGCTTCCGCGCTAGAGAAGGGCATGGTCCTCGCGTCATCATCGCTCGCAGCGCCTTCATTGGAAAGCTTTAACGAGTTAACACCGTCGGTATCTACTGCTACAGAAGCACCCTCGATAGTAGACAACGCGGTAGTAGTCTCACATTCCGATAATAATTCCGACGTGTCCAAGTCGGGTCCGATTCTGCACCTGGCTTCACGCGACGCGGCGTCGCACGACGTGGTCAAGATGTGTTCGAATCTCGTCGCCGCCTGTGGTAAGGGTTTTGTGCGCTCGCATCTGACGTATATTCGTTACTTCCTGCATCTTATGTATTTTGTTTATTTGTTGCCGTTCGTGGCTGCTTACCTGAGCTCGTTGCCTACACACTTACGAAACTCTCCTTTTCCTATTCTCGCGTTCGTCGTTGTGCTGTTTGGTGGCTTCTCCTAAACTTGCGAAACCCTTTCGTTTGCCGTGTTTCCTTTCGTTTGTCCTTTCGTCCCGCAGTGCTGCTGGTTTGGTTCCAGCGGGTCGGCACCCTGCCAGCCTCCACATCCCACGTCCTAACCCAGGTGCGCTGCGCGCTCTCGCTCTCTCACTCGCTCTTTTGCTCTCCTGCCCTGCTTCCCACTCTCCCTCTCTCGCTCCGTTCATGCTTCTGCTCGGGTCTCTCTCTCTTTGTTTTTTTTGTTTAAACGCACGTTGCTGACTCGAGTCCCCCTCCCCTGCACTCCCTCTTCCTATTTCCTCCGCTTTCCGCCTTCCCCCTTCCGCCTTCCGTCGTCCACGTTGCGTATCCTGTCTCGTTCCAGGTGGCGAATCGCGTGCTCATCCCGTGCTTCCTAGCGGTACACGTGGCATCGGCAGTGTCGAGTGAACCTGAGTTGGTGCTATCCTCGCTTCCGCTCATTGCAGTCGCGCAGGTATGCTCCCCCTTCTTCTCTTCTCTTCTCTTCTCTTCTCTTCTCTTCTCTTCACTTCTCTTCTCTGCTTTTCGAGTCGACTCAGAAAGTGAACCTGAGTTGGTTATCTCCTCGTTTCATTGCACTTGCGCAGGTGTGTGCCTCTTCTCTTTTTTGCTGCTCTTCTCTTTTTTGCTGCTCTTCTCTTTTTTGCCGCTCTTCTCTTTTTTGCCGCTCTTCTCTTTTTTGCCGCTCTTCTCTTTTTTGCTGCTCTTCTCCTCTTTGCTGCTCTTCTCTTTTCGTTCTCAAACTGTCGGTAGTGCTTTCTTTGTACCGCTGAGACCAGTCTTGCCATTAGTCACATTCTCTGTGTCTTGCTATTGTCTTTTTCTTCCCTCGTTTCCAAGTTGTGGGTGCAGCCTCATTGGTTCACTTTCTAGCTTTTGAGTCGACTCAAAAGTCACCTCGTTCTTTATGTGTCTTGTGCTCGCTTTCCCGTACTCTCTCAACCAACCAGGTCTTGTTTACAGCCTCATTAGGCCACCTCGTGACTTCTGACTCGACTCTAAGGACACCTTTTTCTCTTAATTTCTTGTTACCGTCTTCCCGAACCCTCATCCAGGTTCTCTGTGCAGCCTCATTGGGTCACCTCGCACACCAATCCTCCTCATTCCTCCTCCGGCCGCTTCAACTCTCTCCACGCCCCTCCACCGCTCTGCACCAACTCGCTGCCGCCATCGCCGCCTCCCTCGACCAAACAACCACCGAACCAACAATCGAAGCAGCCGCCAAACCAGCTGCCGAACCGACTCAGCAGGTCGGGAACCAGCAGCTGGGGGAGGCGTTAATGACGCTGCTGCTGCTGGTCGTCATGACGGCCGTCTGTGAGACGGGAGGAGGCGGTGACGGACTGGCGGGACAGCTGGCGCTGCTCGCCGTGGGCGGGTGAGTGGAGGGGGAACGAGTGGGGGTCTGAGGGGGGAGAATGGGTAGGGGAGAGGGTTGAGGGAGATGACGCGTGAGTTTGTGGATACGAGTGGGAGAGTGAGGGTTGGGAGAGGGTAGGGGGTAATTTTGCTGCTGCTGCTGCCGCTGTTCGGCATGGCGGCCGTTTGCGAGACGGGGAGACGGTGACGGATTGGCGGGACGACTGGCGCTGCTCGCCGTGGGCGAGTGAGCTTGTGGGCACGACTGGGAGATTGAGGGGGGGAGAATGAGGAGGTACGAGGGGGGGCAGTAATAACGCTGGTGCTGCTGCTGGTCGTCATGACGGCCGTCTGTGAGACAGGGGGAGATGGTGACGGACTGGCGGGACAACTGGCGCTGCTAGCCGTTGGCGGGTGAGTGGAGGGGGAACGCGTGTGGGGCTTGAAGGGGAGTTGGATGAGTGCAGGGGGAATGAGTGGAGCGAAGGAGGGGGGATTGGGGGAGGGGGATGGCGGTGGGGGTTTGAGTGGAAGGGGAGATGGGGAGTTGGAGTGGGCGGATGAGTGAGGTGGGGTGGAGTGTGTTTGAGGCAAGTCGCATTGCCTGCTCTCCTTTCATGTCTTGTTGTTCGGGACAGCATCGCCTTTCTCTCAATGGTCCACTCTTCACCTCTCACTGGTCGGTCACACATCCCATTGCTATCTAACCTGCCATTGCTGATTCCTCTCCTTCCCTCTCCCTCTCCCTCCCCTCCCCACTCGACCCTTCGCCCTTCCTCCTGACCTGCCGTCAACACGCGAATCAACAGGTGTGGCCCGGCACTACTCATTCTAGCATGCGATGCTCTGCTCTGGTCTCAAAGGCAGCCGGATGGAGCGGACTCACCTCTTGCTGTCACCAGTACATCTGGCCCGTTGCTCTTGAATCGTTTCTTCACCCCTCCTGTTTTTGGGGTGAGTTCGTTTGCCCTGTTGTTACCCTCTCTCCTCACCCCAGACAAACGTGAGCACCACCGCACCCCTTCATTTCCGTTCTCTCCCCCATATGTGCCCAGCATCTCGTTTCCCTTTTACCTTTTCACGTTTGCACCCTTCAAATCGCCACCTGTGAGACCCATTCACCTCTTCTCATTCGTCTCCTTAGTCCTGCCGTCCACTCATGTCACTCCTTTCCACTCACAACCTTCCCTCCCCTTCGTTTCGAACCCTCTCTTTTTCCTCATGCCTCCCCCTTTGTGTCCTTGACTCTCCGCGACTCTCCTTGACTATCTTTGACTCTCTCCTAATCTCTCTCCTTGATTCTTCTCGTGTGTCTCCCCCTCTCCTCTCCCTCTCCTCTCCCTCTCCCTCCCTTCTCCCTCTCCTCTTCCTCTCCTCTCCCTCTCCTCTTCCTCTCCTCTCCCTCTCCTCTCCTTCTCCCTTCACCCACTATCAGGTACTCGCAGGTCTCTTGATCGGCGCCACCCCTCTCAGTCAACTCTTCCTGCTGCCACGTGGCGGTGACGGATTGGTTGAGACAAGCACTCTGTTGATCGACAGTGGGTCTCTGCTGGGATGGCTGCAATGGCAAGCGGGCGAGATGACGGGGAGCATGCACTGCTTCATGGAGGTGAGGGGTGGATGCAGCAATGGGTTACACGCACTGATCGACAGCGGTTCCCTGCTGGGATGGCTGCAATGGCAAGCGGGTGAGATGGCGGGGAGCATGCACTGCCTGCCATTGCAGCCAAGCCATGAAACAGTGAATGCACTGCTTCATGGAGGTGCGTAAAGCCTTTCCCTGCTCTTAACAAAACTGGATGCAGGCAGTGCGTCATGGAGTCACATTTCAGCCGTGTTGCTTGCTTGCAGGCGTTCTCACAAATCGCCTACGTGGTAGTCCCCGTCCCTCATCCCCCAATCCTCCCCTGCATCACTCTTCCACCGCATCTCACCTCTCACTCTGTGCTACTCACTGGCTCTGCTGCCCCTTCACTCCACCTCTGGATCTTCTCTCTATGTCCCCCGTTTCTCCATCTCTCTCTCACGCTGGATCCTCTGCTCTGCCGCTCTGCCTCTACACCTCATGGCGCTCGTCTCCTCTTAATTCCCTTACACGTTCCCCCTGTGTGTGTGTGTCTCTCTCTCTCTCTCTCTCCCCCGCCTCTACACCTCATGGCGCTCGTCTCCTCGTAATTACCTTACACGTTCCCCGTGTGTGTGTGTGTCTCTCTCTCCCCCATCCGCGCCAATCCCCATCCCCTCTTGCAGGCTGCATCATTCCTCGGCTCTGCTGCCCTACCTCTGCATCTCATGGCACTCGTCTCATCTCTAGTCCCCCGCGACTCTCTCGAATCACCTCACTCCCAGCATCAGCTGCACCACCAGCAGCAGCAAGCCATTCTGTCGCCTGTCAAGACCACCCACCCCAGGGATGCTGCTGCTTCCGCTCCAGAACTACCTCTGTAACACAGGAACGTTCATCTTCACCTGATTCGACTTGACTTGACTTCACTCCACTCAGCTCACATGGGAGGTGTCCCATGTAACACCTCCCAGTCCAAGTAACAGACTTGGACACCTCAGATACTGCATATCAGGAGAGATGACTTGGACACCTCAGATACTGCATACCTCCTGTCTCATCCCTGACTTACTGCCAGACACGTCAGCAGCAGCAGCAGCATGCCGAGTTGTCCCTTGCCTACAAGCATCACAATTCTCTCACTAACACGCTTCCATCTCAAGATCTCCCGAGCCACCTTAAGGTCACCAGCAGCAGCTAGCGGACTGCTGAGTCAGCATCAGCAACTTCACACAGTCAGCATTGCGAACTGGTGTTGGCTGCCCTGTCTCGTTACACCAGCCAGCACCAGTCGCGAGTTTGGCAGGGGGGATAAGAGATAAGCCAACTCTGTGTATATTTGGGATCTGATGCTGACTCGTTTTGAGTCTGCCTAAGAAAGCATTCTGCAACACCATCTACATTTGATTACAATGGGTGAGTTACATTGTTAACTTCTAGTTTGCCTTCTGCACATCCTTTCCCTAGCACTGTATCACTGAAAGGAGTTGCTTTGTCCCTTCCTCCCTCCCTGCTGGTCTCAGGTTCCTTAGCTCAACTGGTGTTATCTGCACCTACAGTGACTTTTCTGCAAGGTGAAAATAAGATTGGACAAGTAGATTGCTAACTCATGTTTCTGCACATCTTCCACAATGCATATAAATACCGGCCAGATAGTTAAATACTGTAGGGTTTTTTTCTGCATGCTTCTGTTCTTCCAGATTGAAACTCAAGTCTCCCCTCCTGTGCTGCTGTTCTACACATGCTCAAGTTGGCAAGGCATGGCATTTCGCCATCAAAATACCAATGCTGCCATCATGCGGCGACAATTGCTGCTGGTCAATATACCGTTGCTGCTCCACCTTCTGCCACTGCTACTGCTGCTTCTGCTGCTGCTACTTTTGCTGCTGGGAACCCCATCTAACTGCTACCCATGCTGCTGTCCACTGTTTTTACTAATCTTCCCTCCTTCATTGAACGAAACCAAAACGACCATGCTCACACTGCCATGCTACGTGTGAGGAAAAAGCTAGTTAGGGGGCCATGTGGTCATCACATGGGAATGTTGAGGATAGTGAGGAAAACGGTGACCCAGATGGTGATTGGCAGCATGGCTAGGGCGTACTGCAGGGATGACGGAATGAAGAGAAGAAATGGGAAGGATAGAAACTCAGCAAAATCTAAATGCGTATTTATCTTAACTCTGCATTTATCTGAATTTGAAAATCTGTTTTTGCTTATATGCCACAAAAGTGTGCTAAGCTGTGCTGCACGTCAGAAGTGGCAGAATTTTTTTTGGACTGGACAGTATTTTTTGTGATACTAGATTTTATTCCAGAAAGGGATGGCCCGTTGATGAGGATTGTGAGGTAGGGAGGGATGAGCAGTTGATGTTCTATTGTGAGCAGAAAATAGGATTTTATTCATGCAGACGACAGTGATATTCTCCTCCTATCAGTAGAGAATGGAATCCGATCAATAGAAAATGCTGACTTTGGTTCTCCATTGTATGGTTGATAGGGAGCAAAGACCAGAAGAAATAGAGGTGCAACAAATACAGATATATCCCTATTAGAAGGAAAGGGGCTCACCTGTCGGAGCATGAGTGAAGCAAGCACTCCCGCGAGCGGACGAGTCTTGGAGCTCAGCTACAGTCACAGAAACAGAAGGGAAGGGTTTTAGTTTAAAAACATAAGGACAGAAAGTTGATACCGTACTTTGTTTTTGTTTCGCACTTTTTTCTTTCCCTGAACAGAGGAAACATTATTTGAGTGTCGAAGGATTTGTGTTATGCTGACTAGGGTGCAGCGGCAACTGACCTGAGTGAGAACGACAAGGCTCTGAGATGACGGCATGGCGGTCGGCACCTGAGAGGGAGAGGCAAGCATGGGAAAGAGCAGAGAGCAGAGGATGAGTGGCAGTGACGGGGACAAACAAGAACCCTAAACCACGAGGCTCTGAGACCACGGAATGACTGTGGGCACTGGGCACCTGAGAGGGAGCCGGGCAGGGAGAGAGTTGAGGAGAGATATGAGAGGAAGCAAGGAGAGGCACGAGCGAAAGCAAATTGAGAGCAGGAGCAAGAGAGAACCGGAACAACAAAACATCAATGATGCTTGAACATCAACAAGCACACATGAGGCCCACAGGGCTTAAGGTGTCAGCACACTCACCATGAGGCAAAGCGCGCAGATAGGGTCCTGGGGAATGAGATGAGCGTGGTAGAGAGCCTGGCGGAGAGGGAAAGAGAGAGGAGGGGTGGGAGAGAGAGAGAGGCAGGCAAGGTTAGCAACTGAAAGAGGGTCCTGGGGAATGAGATTAGCGTGGTAGAGAGAGCCTGGTGGATCGAGATAGAGGAGATATGGGGAGAGAGGCAAGATTAACGAGCGACTAGGACCGACCGAGGCGTAACAGGCAGACCACAGAAGCAAGCCAAGGAAACAATGCTGTGGGCAATGCACCATGATGCTGGTCATGCCTGGAAACAATGCTGTGGGCAATGCTGGGGAATGAGATTAGCGTGGTAGAGAGAGCCTGGTGGATCGGGATAGAGGAGATATGGGGAGAGAGGCAAGATTAACGAGCGACTAGGACCGACCGAGGCGTAACAGGCAGACCCCAGAAGCAAGCCAAGGAAACAATGCTGTGGGCAATGCACCATGATGCTGGTCATGCCTGGAAACATTGCTGTGGGCAATGCTGGGGAATGAGATTAGCGTGGTAGAGAGAGCCTGGTGGATCGGGATAGAGGAGATATGGGGAGAGAGGCAAGATAAACGAGCGACTAGGACCGACCGAGGCGTAACAGGCAGACCACAGAAGCAAGCCAAGGAAACAATGCTGTGGGCATTGCACCATGATGCTGGTCATGCCAACATGGTGCATTGCACCTCGTGGTCTCACCCATAGTTGGGTGAGACCAGGAGGCACCCACTGCTGCAAATGAGCCGTGCCAGGCCAACAGAGCAAACTGCAAGGTACCCTAAGCCACGAACCCTACACCTTAATCCTTTGACCCGGAACCCTGAGAATGCTGCACGCACCATAATGCTAGCAACACCACCACCAGCGCCCGATTGTCCAGCAGGTCTGCTGGCGGCCCTGCTGCCACCCGAAACCTCAACACCTTAAACCTCGACCCTAAACCCTGGGAACGCACCATAATGCTAGTCATGCCAACGATGGGAGACACCAGCAGGCGCACTAGCGACACCACCACCAGCGCACGGTTGTCCAGCAGGTCTGCTGGCGGCCCTGCAGGCACTGCTGCTGCTGTGGCTGGTGCAGGTGCTGCAGCAGCAGCAGGAGCAGCAGATGTAACCGCTGCAGCAGAAGCAGAAGAGGCGACTGAGGCAAAAGCAGATTCTGATGCCACGGTTGGTGCTGGTGCGCGGGCAAAGACAGCAGAGGAAGACGAGGCGAGCGCGGCAGCAGTAGCAGGAGCCAGTGCTGCTGCCAGTTCAGGAGACATGGTGGGAGCAACAGGGCGAATAGACGCTGCTTCTGCTTCCTCTCTCACTGCAGCTGCTGCAGCAGAAAGGCCAGCAGCACCAGCGGCCCCTACAGCTGCTGCAGCTGCTATTGTTGCTGCAGCAGCATCAGTGTTGGGTCGTTCAAGTTGCGTGGCAGCTCCCTGGCCCATGCTCAAATCCATTTCTAATTCCAACGCCTCTAGTCCATTCAACTCTAGCGCCCCTGTTGCGTCCCCACCCCCCATCATCTCCACCCCTCCCACCGCCTCTGTGTTGCTCTCCGCCTCGCACGACCGCACCTGCTTCAACTTATCCTCACCCCTCTCCAACCCCTCCCTCTCCACTCTCCCTTGCACCGGGATCGCCAGGACAGCAGCAGAGGCGCCAGCGGCAACAGCTGCTGAAGCAGCAGATGCCGAGGCTGCAGCTGCAGCAGTGGTGGAATAAGAAGCTGCTAGTACGGAGTTCCCTAGGAAAGGTTGGTGGGGAACTAAGCGGGCTAGGAGCCACAGTGAGGAGGCGGAATCAGAGGAAGAGGAGAAGGATGATGAGGAGGGGGGAGAAGAGGAAGACGAAGGGGTGAGGAGGGATTGGAGGAGGTGATGGAGGTCGGCGAGAGGGGGGGAACCGGCAGGGAAGACAGGGGCAGGGAATTTGGCAGAGAGGGACTTTTGGAGGTTTGCGAAGGGGTTGGGAGGAGTGGGGAGGTTGGGGAGCGCGGGGAGGAACTTGGGCCAGGAGAGGTTGGAGGGGAGGGCGTCAGCGAGGGAGGAGGAGAGGACGATTGTTTGCACTGGCACACATGCTCCCCCTAGCATGCCTGCTGCCTGCACAAATTGGATGGGAGACAGGGACGTACAGGCAGGTAGGGAAGGGAGAAAGGGGGAATTAGCGAGGGAGGGAGGAGAGGACGATGGTTTGCACTGAGACACATGCTTCCCCCAGCATGCCTGCTGCCTGCAGGGTTGGGTTGGGGCAGGCGGAAAGTAGTATATAGTTAGCGTGGGCACAATCATTTGGAGGTCCCAGCCATTGAAACCTAAACCCTCTCATCATAAACCTCTCGTTCCCAATCACACTAAACAATGGGCGTAGCACAAACTCACCCCAAACAGAGGGTTCAGCACTCCGGCTGTAGCAGGGCTAAGGAGAGAGGACAGCAGGTCGCCTGAGCCAGCAGCAGCGGATGTAGCAACACTAGCAGCATCTGCAGCAGCAGGCAGGAAGAAATGGCCGAGCGGGGTGGTGCCGATAACAACGCCCACGAGCACCTGAGGGGGTGACAACAAGGAAAGCAGGAGGTGAGTTTTGGAGAAAGCGACAATAACACCCTCCCCCCCCCCCCCCCCCCAAAAAAAAAAAAGGCAAGACGGGCAAGCAAAAGTGGGTGGGTACCCAAACAAACTACTCACCCAACATATATGCAGGTAACCATCAACTCACCCCATACATAGGCGGGTTAAAGACCTTCTTGGCCACACCAGAGACACACTCCACAGCGTTGCTCGCCCATGCACGCACGCCCCCAACACCACCAGCAGCAGCACCCGCGCTACTAGCAGCAGTTGCCTTGCTGCTGCTGCTGCTGCTGCTGGTGACACGACCAGCGGGCTTGCCCGCGTCCTTGAGAATGCTGTATCCGATCGTCCATAACGCAGGTTGCCAGCTGTGGGAGGAGGAGGGGAAAGGGAAGGGAGGAATTAACATACAGTCACAAACTGACGCATTGAGAAGGCATAGGCGGTCACCCCGTCAAGCTACGATACAAAGGCAGCCGCCCAAACAGGCACTCACCCCATCATGAAAAGGGCGAGGTAGCCTGCGGCCCTGTCGCCGTCCACTTGACTGAGCAGCGCCGTGAGGAACACGAGAGGCAGAGAGAGCGAGTTGCCGCACCCTTGACAATAACGTGCCAAGACCGTGACACACACTGACTGATAGTCCATGCCGCACGCATGCACGCACCCATGCTTACTCACCCCATCATGAAGAGCGCGAGGTAGCCTGCTGCCCTATCGCCGTCCACTTGGCTGAGCAGCGCCGTGAGGAAGACCAGAGGCAGAGAGAGCGAGTTGCTGAACGCACACACAGCTGTTACTACCGACTCCTTGGTCCTAAGTACCGCTGCTGCTGGTTCAGCAGCAGTAGCAACAAGCTCAGTGTGGCTTTCTCTGCTGGTTCCGTCACTGTGCTTCAGGCTGCTGCTTCTGCCAGTGTTGCCTGTGACAAGAGAGGGCAGCAGGGCAGCGGAGGGCAGCAGCGACGACGGCTTGTGGAATGCCACGAGGCACGCAGCCTTGCCCAGCACGGTGCCTACCAGCACCTGAAAAGGCAAGAAAACCGGGTGGGAAGAGTCACAGGAGGTGAGGTGATGGTGAGGCAGAGGTTAATCAAGGCACACAACAAGCGGGTTGAGGGGAGCTAGGATAACCCGCTTGTATCCCGCCCCAGATACCATTCCAAGGCACACAACAATGGAACGGTATCTGAGGCGGGATACAAGCGGGTTGAGTGTGGGTGGTGCTGCATACCTGGAGAATAGCAATGAGCGGCAGCACTGCCAGGGCTGAGAGTGACTCGCCAGAGAGAGTAGCGGCCACCTGCAGAGAGCGGGAGCATGAGGGCGGGAGGGAGGAGGGGAAGGGGGAGGGGGAGGTGGGGGGGAGGAGGGGGAGAGGGAGGGGAAGGGGAGGGGGAGGAGAAGGGGGAGGGAAATGGACGTAGGACAAACACAGCGGTTGAATGACAAGATGAGGGAATATGGATGTGTGACGTGACGACTCAAAACTAAAACTCAAAACGACACGTCTCAAAACTAAAACTCAAAACGAGACGTCTCAAAACAAGATGAGGAAATATGGATGTGTGAGGTGAAGAGATTGTGAGATTGAGAGTGCTCTGCGTTTTGTAAGAGTTTGTAGTTAACGTGTGCGAGAGCAGAACAGTCCGAGGAATGAAAGAGGCAGGGGCACGGGAGAGCGTACCTTGCTCATAAGGAAGCAAGGGATGAGCACTCGGAAGGAGACCTGGGGAGACAGGGTGGACAAGGGCGAGGGAGAGAGGCGCGAGGGAGAGAGAAGCGAGGAAGAGAGGAGGATGAACGCAGGTTCACAGGGTGTACAATGAGCGGACAATGAGGCGACAACACGTACATTAGATACTGAGGAAGATGGGTTATTCTATGCATGCATGCAGTTAACTGAAACCGTGCTGTGCAGGAGCGAGCAGATTTGCACGAGCAGACACACGCCCACGCGCACACGCCCACGCGCACACGCCCTTGCGCAAACACACACACACACCCACCCACCCATACACTCCCTCCTGCACCCGCTCCCCCAACGCACCCACACAATAAGTAGCGCACCTGGCTGAGCACGGAGGGCGTGGACTTGGGTAGAATGCCCGACTTCTGCAGACACACTACAAACGCTGCTCTCGCACACGCACACACACAAGCAGACGCACACGCACACACAGCATGGAAAGGGGGTGGATCAGGGGGGAGGAGGGAGAGGGGGCGAGGTGAGGCGAAGGAACTTTCAGACGGGCGAAGAGGCGCGAAATGCAAGAGGAATTGTGAATGACAACATGCAAAGGAGGACGGGGGGAGCGAGAAAGAGGGGGCGAGGTGAGGCAAGAAGCATCAACTTGAAAGGCGAAGAGGCGCGAAGTGTAAGAGGTACAAAGTGAATGACAACAAGCAACGGAGGACGGGGGGAGGGAGGGAAGGAGGGAGGGAGGGGAGGGGTGGGGGGATGGGGATAGGGAAGGTAGAGGAAGCGAGATGCGAGGCGGGAAAAATCGCAATTCCAAAACCTTGCAAAGGGAAAAAGCTGCTTTGAGCTTATGAGGCGTTTAACAAACCTAAAATCTGAGACGTCTCAAAACTTACCGCAGATGCCGAAGAGCTTAAACACAGTTCCGAAGGCCGCTTTTAACACGGACACATTGACGCCGAACACCACGTCAGCAGCCGCGCCCGCGGGACCCGCCGCTTCCGTCCCCGCATCCGCGGACGCGGCGGGAGCGGAGTAATTGAGCGACACAGGCGCACTGGGCACCGGAGCTCCAGAGGGGGACATCCGCAAAACCGCAGCAGTAGGCTCGGGCAGAACGAAGTTTCCAGCAGGGAGAGAAGCGGGTAAGGCGGCCGGTAGTGTAGCCGGTAGAGTGGCCGGTAGAGTAACCGGCAGGGATGGCGGAACCGCCGACGATTCGGCGACTGCGGGAGCCGTTAGCGGCTCGTTACTAGTCCCCACCGACGCGTCACTCGTGACGTCAGCGGAGGGGTAGGTGTACACTAACGGCGGCGCGGCGAAACCCGATCGATCCGCGAAACTTCCTTGGTCGAACGTGATCGGAACGGGCAGCGCGCGGAACGACGGCGAGAAGAACTGCGCCGAGTGGTACAGCGACGGCCACACGTCGCCCGTATTCACCGCCGCGATCGGCGGCAGAACCTCCGCCGGCAGCCCCGCGGCCGCCACGTCAGCAACGCGGTTGAAAGCGGCGGCGGAGGCGGGGGAGACGGTGGGGAGGCAAGGCGCCGCGGTCACGATGCTGAGACCTATGGCGGCTGCGGTGGCCGTCGCGGCCGCGCGGATAAACATGGGAGAAGATTCCTTAGGGTCCCGGACCCCGTGTTCTGCGCTGGGAGCCGTTGCGAGCGACGCGGCTTCGTCGAACCTTCCTCGCATCAGCGCGCGGAGGAGCTGCGAGGAACGGGAGGCGGCTTCGGAGTGCTGAGCGCTGCTAGCCGCTTTCTTCCGTCGCCCTGCGACCTTCCTCCTGTCGCCTGCAGTCCTCTTCGCTTCGCCCGCAGACTTCTTGGTGTCGCCAGCCGTCTTGATGCGTCCATCGCCCGCAATCTTAGCGTCTGGTCCGCGCTGTCCCGACACGGAGTTAAACTGCTGCATTGAACCGACTGCATCCGGAGCTGCTTCCCGGGTTTCACGAAACGCGGCTCCATCGTCGCTCTGACAATCCTCCCCATTGGCTGCCACATAAGACCCAGCGGTTTCTCTGGATCCAATTAAAGACGACTCGTTATAAACAGACTCCGTACGGCTCGTAATGTCAGCGTTCACCGCCCTTTTCTCCGCATCAACATTGCAGCCGATGCTCCCGGCCCTGTTACCGCCGCTGCTACCAGCGGTAGATATCACGGGAACGGCGGGAATCGTCGGAGAAGAAGTTGGGGAAATCAACGGTGTCCTCAACTCAGAGGAGCATCTGACGGTTCCGCCGCGATTGGCGCTGATGCCGATTCCACAGCAACTGCTCCGCTTCTTGTGGCAATTTGCGCGACCGAGAACGCAGATCGAACGGGTACCGTCAGACAAAAGAGGTCCTTCCGGCGACGGAAGCAACGGTCGGCACGAAGTTACGCAGAAACCGGAAGGGGAGCCGGAGCTGCTAGAAGGTCCACGGGAAGCGGAAGAGGAGGAGGGCGTGAGCGAGACACTAGCAGGTGCAGAGCAGCGGAAGAAAATGGCGGCCATTCAGAAGAGAATTCTCGAAGCAGCTTGCTGAAAAAGGAGGTCACGCAGGATCAATCAGTCAAGTAGTGGATTAATCAGGCAATATCACCGGGCTTATGTGAATAGAGCTCCTCTGTGACTCCGAGAGAAAGAAGGCGTTAAACGCTGATGAATAGTCGGTTCGTTCGTTCAAGGCGGTTTAAGTGATAATTAAAACGTTAATACGTCGTCGGCCTCCTTCGAATACAAGAGAAGTCAATAAGTAATTAGCCCTTCGAGCAAAGCCCGCGTAATATAAACAGCTACACGCGACCTTGCCAACAAGGCTAGGAGATCCGAGTCGCGGGAAGGACGCAGCTATCTCGGTGACAGGACAGTCAAGTATGGAAACGGACCAGGCACAGACAAACCACCAGCCAGCTGCTACGATTTAGGGAATACAAGTGGAAACCCCAAGGCCAGCTTTCCTCTAATATAGTACGGAGGAGGTGAATGTGCATTCACCTCCAGTCAAATTCCTAAGACACGGTGTAGTCTGTTTTATGACGGTAAAGAGCGATCAAGAGCGGTGAAGAACGATATCCATAACTTATCGCCTGAGAACTTTCTCCACCAGGCTGGACGATCTCGGTTCTCTCTCGCATCCCAACCAATTCCTCATCTCATATCGCACCCGCCCAAGATTATGGAAGGTAGATCGGACGGACCAGCAGCATGGATGGATGGTGCAGCAGTGCTGCTGCGCTGAGCTGACGTTTCGTAAACGGCCGCCACTGCGTCCCCCACACGGCGTTGGACAAAACACGCGTACCTGGCTCGGGGAGGTTTGGGGTCTACCTAGTTCGGATGGCGGGGTGCGATTGGTTCGGTATGGTTTAGCAAGGTTGGTTCCATCTTGTAATGGCGTGATCTACATCAGAAGGACGCATGGTTGCAGAACGATATCACAGAGCGTGAGGCTTCAAGCTTTGAAACGTCGAACGAACTGACCCGAGCTCTTAATAGAACGATCCGTACGTTTAGAACAAGACTTGAGTTCACTGTGGGGTCTGTTGAGTACACGGTCAAGAGCCAAAGCTTGGCCGACTTCAAGCCTCATCACTAGGCTTGGCACAACTGGCTGATGAACATACCGACAAGCCTAAGCAACAAGCACTCAGGCAAGGTACCACAGTGAGTTTCACAGTGAGAGAGGTTCGGCTCGTATCGAGGCTGCGCTATTAGCTGAAAATCTTCAAGGTTTAGATTAATCGAATGTGGGTGAGGCTTGTCATTGGCCATCAGATGCTTCGGTACGGCTTACCACAGACACCAGATCGTCTCCGAACCACAACTCAATCAGCTAAGGCAAGCAATCTCGCCCAGAGCCAAACTCCCCGCCTCCCACAGTCGCTGAGGCCGCTTCCACAGTTGAAAGGGAACTGTGGTTTGGGTTCAGCCTTGTCAGGGCAGACCTCCTTCGCTGGTGTGGTTCTTTGAAGGCGGCATGGGACGAGCCTTGTAGGGCTTCGCACGCAAACCTCCTCCAAGCCCATTGTGCCAGTTGTCCTAACAAGCTTGGCCGACGGATTATCCACGTCATTGTGACATCGTCCAGGCCCGTATCTGTCATGGCTTGGTCAACGTGTGTGGTGAAGGACACAACAAGAACAGTCTCTCCCAGACCTTCGGAAAGTAGGCGATAAGGCAACCAGTGGAGAGAATGCCAAATCATTTTGCCGTTCTACTTATACGCACAATTACGTACAGTCACAAGAAAATATGAACAATCATTAGATTATTTGGTCGATTTACAAAACATCTACACTCGCACAAAAGGTTACTCATTCTAACACCAGCAAATATTTACAATACGCTATAATGCTTTCCTAAGCAAAGGTGTTGTTCATACGCTTTTTCCACGACAATATGTACGGATTTAAATGATAAAAAAAAAAACAGCTTGAACACGGGAAACGTGGGAGGGGGCTTTCTGTTCACGTGTGGTTATGACATTCTTATTGTTACTGTTTGATTACCAAAAATATTTTCAGCGAATGAACCTGCTCCCATCCAGATAAGCGGGATACATTTCCTAGTCGCGTTTGCTCCTACCAAGGACACGATTCTTTTCCTGGACAGTTCGAGAACATGTAAAAACATCTCAGCTGGCGTAGTTGAAGCCGATATTTTCACCTGACCAAAACCACCTGACCGCAATAGTTTTGCCACCGCCGCTTACTTCCCTTTCGTAACAGTGTTTTCATCCTTCAGACAGATCCATGCCCGCAAATTGACCGAGGATTCCTGGACTTTGCTGAAATCGGACAAATTGCGCGACTGCTCTGCTCCAAGAGAAACTTGGGGGGACTCAAAACATCTCGATGGTCAGGCGAACTCGTTACTGATTGGCTGTCTGTTATGGAGGCGCATGCTTCTTCAGCTGTTTCTCCAAACCTGGCACACCCCCCCTGGCTGGCACGACTGCACATCAACCCCCCTCCTCGAGTCCTTGTGTTGCATGCACGAACCCATGACTCCACACACCCGCCTCGGTATATTCCTGAAGTCCTGAGCTTGCACTTCTCACCACTTAGAATCCCTCTCTTCCTCGTTCAGCGCACTGCGCCTTGCTCCTCCTGCTCAACAAAACCATTCCATTCCAAGCAAACCGATTTTCTCTTCATCTTCCTTTCTTCACTGTATCCTTGTTCAGTTTGCATCCAGCTTTTCAATCCTTGTACTCTCCAGCGTGGTTTGTAGTGTGCTTCGACCTAGAGCTGCTCAAAACAGGCTAGCAAAAGCGGTCCACGAAACCTACAACAGAGATTCCTCTCAAGTCAACTTAAAGTCACCTTACAAAGGCGCCGCCACCATGTCGTTGCATCGTCTAGCGCTCTTTCTGTGCCTCTCCGCCCTCGGCCTCGCGTGTACGTGACGTTTATTTTCCCTTACTTTCTTTCCCGCGCGCTTCATTCTCGGTTTTCCAAAGAAGCGGATTGCCGCCCAAGTGTGCTGGTAATATTGAGTCGTCTCAAAGCAAGTGTACTGTTATTCGAACGGAGTGACGATTTTTGTAAACATGATGTCAAACTTACCTTTCTCTTCTCCCTCGTCATGCTTGCTTTTCGCATGTGTTGCCTGACGTGTGCATGGTGCCACCTGACGTGTGCATGGTGCTACCTGACGTGTGCATGGTGATACCTGACGTGTGCATGGTGCTACCTGACGTGTGCATGGTGCTGCCTGACGTGTGCATGGTGCTGCCTGACGTGTGCATGGTGCTGCCTGACGTGTGCACTCCCGCAGCTCTTCTAACAGCACAGGTAAGCCTTCCTCTGGCTATTCTTCCTCCTTGTACTCTGACGTTAATTCACCTTCTCTCTACGTCACTCCGCGCGCTTCCGAATTATCCGCTCGTCTCCCGTCCGCATCCGCTCCCCCCCCCTCCCCCCACCCCCCCAATCCCCCACCCACTTCAACTCGTAGTTTCCTCCTTTTTCCGAGTGTACTGGTCCGACTCGCAGTTCCGGGGCCCCGCCTTTCCACCATTCCCAGCAACCCTCTCCACCATCCTTCCCGTCCCTTTACGTGCTTTACACTTGCCTCACGTCCCTAGAGTCTGGCGATTTTTAGTCAACTCAAAACTCTCCACCATCCTTTCCGTCTCTTTACGTGCCTTACACTTACCTCACGTCGCTAGAGTCGGGTCGCATCCCTAACGTCCGTGTCGCGTACTCCGCTCTTATTTCACCTGATAACATTTGCTTCGCTCCCACACTGGAACTCGCCCATGCCCGCGCCTGTGTTGTTCTTCGCGTGTTGTTTAATTTAGTACTATGTCAAAAGTTCTTCTGGCGCTATCGCTAGAACACGTTCAGGCCAAGACCTCGAACGCTTTTTAGGCGCCTCAAAATACGTCTCTGATTCCCTTTCACCCCCCATCATCCTCCAATCATTCTCCCCTTCCATCTCTAATCTACTTGTCTATAACCTGCTGCTTGTTCCCTATCGCGCGAACCCGTTCAGGCCACGACGTACTATGTGGGGGGCGGAATGAAGCTAATGAAGCGGCACACTTGGTCGAAGAAGCAAATGAATCCGTGGAGCGTGGGCAATATGAAAAAGTGGAAAGCTCCGGCTGAAGTCAAAGTTGGGGACGAGTTCGGTACGTGAGCCGCCCAGAGTGGTCTGAAAATGTAATTTTGAGTCGCCTCAAAAGGTCATTCTTTGACTCGACTCGAACGACATCGCGTGGAGCGTGGGCAACGAGAAAAAGTGGAACGCTCCGGCTAAAGTCAAAGTTGGGGACGAGTTCGGTACGTCAATTGCAACACGCCGAAAGCGGTCTTAACTCCGACTCAGTTGACTCTAGGTGTAATAGGGGTACACCGTACACCGTACATGGAGAGTGGGTGTTTGAAGCCCGACTCTATGTGTTTTGATCTTTGAGTCGACTCAAAAGTTGACTAGGTGTATAAGTTGAAGCTCGTCTCAAATGACTCTAGGTGTATTACAGTGTTTTAAGCCCAGCCCTTCATGTGTATTGGCCCATGCCTATAGGCTAGGTAGGCCATAGCGACAAGCTAGGTAAGCCATAGCGACAAGCTCGGTAAGCCATGGCGACAAGCTAGGTAATCCATGAGAATTTATGCTTTTCGCATTGCATAGTGCATTTCCACGGCCATGCAATGAAAACGTGTGAGCGTGTGAGCTCATCCATTACCCCACCACATTGTATCTGTAATCCCTTCGTCTTCAAGCTTTTTTTTTTTTTCCCTCACAGTGAGGTGTGGGTGTAAAATGTGTGTTTCGCGATCTTCCATAGCTAATTGTTCCTTTTGTGTATCTGAAATTGCAGTGTTCATCTGGAACACCAAGGCGAATGTGTATCAGTACAATGGCGCGGATGAGGGGGATTATGACGAATGTGCAAAGAAATCCCAGCGAGGAACCATGCTCTCCCCAACCTCCCTTTTTGGAAAGTAGGTTTCCCTCACTCTGGTTAGCCCTCGCAAAAGTGAGTCATGAAGCTCCTAGCCCAATTAGGTTTCTGCTCCAATGTGGTTTGGCTCCTTCGTTTGTGTTCTTGCTTCCGTTCAGTTTGTCTCACACTGCTATTTCACTCATGTTCATGCGTTTGCGTATTGCTATGAGTAGAAAGTCAGGTGAAGCTTGTAGTCTTATTCGTCTTCTTCATCCATGCCTTGTTGGCAGGTATACCTACAAGGTGGAAGAATCATGTGTAAGCCTCTTCTTTGCAAGCACAGTTGGATGCAAGAAAGGGATGAAGTTCAGAACATTTGTCGCATGTTAGTGTGAGGGTGGAGGTTTGAAACAAGATAACTAATCAACATAAAGCTTAGCTGTTCACGAATAGGGATGTATGTAGTACTGTATACTAGTGTATGATACAGGAGGATTGTTATGGGAGTGAGCCTTACCTGGAGTGTGTATGTGTCAGAACGAGGATGATTGCATTGAGAAGAAAGTTTGAACCCCTTATGAACACAATATAAACATTGAGAAAGCTTGCTTTCTTGTCCTTATAATTTGGCATCGTTCTCATTGCAACTGGCTTATTACAACATATGCATCGTTCTCAAGCACATGCTAGTACATGCAAATATTACTAGCTATGGAGTCGTCTGTCCAAGCAGCTGTGGTCTTGTAGTTGGTCCGGGGTGGGTGGTGGGGATGTTGATTGAGCCGTTGGAAAACGAGAAACGTGGGTGGAGGGAATGAACTCCAATCCAACCCACGGTTTTTGTAGCTGGAGAAGGGCGTTTAGCGCGCTTCGACGCTGCCAAATATTCGGTACAGGCAGCTTCGCTTTCACAATACACAATTTTGAAAAACATCAATGTGTTTAAAAATTATAATATTGAGAAAGCTTGCTTTCTTGTCCTTATAATTTGGCATCGTTCTCATTGCAACTGGGGCCTCTGAGACATGGGCAGCGGTGGCTTCCGGTTGCGTAAGAGTGCCTCTGCGTGCTGTTCTGGGGGCAGTGCGTGTGTCGGGTCCTGTAGGTCGCGGGATGCCTTGATAAGATGTCCGACGTGTGGTGTGACGTACATCTCTTTGGCTGTGTCACTTTGCCACCTGCCCATCCTTTTGAAGATCCTGTCCGGCACGCCGATGTTGGCTGCTACGGTTGCCGCGCCCTTTCGGAAGGAGTGCGTGCCGAGCTGCTGCTCCCCAAGTCCAACCTTTGCGAATGCTTCTTTACACCAGTTCCGGATCGTTGTGTACGAGGGTGGCTTGGCCTGACCCTTGTTGGCTGAAGCGTGACCAAAAAAGCGAATCAGCGACCCCTCTGAATGCGGGCCATAGCCAGCGAGTTGAAGGAAGCGTTGGGTGCAGCGCACGGGGCAACAGGGGTCCGTCGTTGCTGCGATGGGAATCCAAGTTCCACGACCGGCCTGGTCCGTTTTTGAGTGTGGGATGAGGATCCACATGACTTCGTCGTCGAATTGGATGTCTTGCCACTGGATGGCCACCAGGTCGGAGTATCGCAAAAATCCGGAGTACATGAGGATAGGGATCAACCCCTTCTGAAATTCAGCAGGATTGTCCGACTGCAAGTAGTTCGCGGACATGTCCCGAACTTGTTGGATTGATACGGGCTCCTTCATTCGACTAGGGCGAGGGCAGTGTCGTTTCGCGTAGTCCCGCACTTGAGTGGTAAACGGTCCGACAGTCGGGCATTTGCTTCCAGTCATGCGATGGGCGAAGCTGACTGCCGAGCACGTGAGCTGCACTACAGACAAGGTTGCTCTTCGTTGGATTGCATGTACCAAGTATAGCGCGAGGGCCATGTCGGATGCGGGAAGAAATGGGAGATCCACCTTTGTGCAGAAAGCCCGAAACTTGGCCCAGTACGGTTCGTATGTACGGATCGTTGAATTAGCTCGCGATTGTGTGAGCATGTTGATGAGTTGGTTGTGTAGCTTTGGGAGCAGATCTGGACACAAGGCGCGTACACTCTCAATTAGTCAAAAACCACCCGAAGTGCAATTATTGGGCTGTGTGGTAATCCAGTGCCTGAAAAAGCAGCGGAATGTGTTCCAACTGCCAGACATTGGCTGCCGTGTGTCAAAGGAATGTGCGCGTGGATGTACGGTGCCCAGTTGCGTGGGGAAGGTTGTAGGAGTGGCCACCAGTTTGCACCCGGCCAATGTGGGATGATCAGTGTGAGCGACGCATGGGTGCGCTGTGCGTGATGGAGGACGGCCGGTACTAAATGGGGCGGGGGGAAAGCAAAGCTATTTTCTGATGTCCATGCGAGCGAGAATGCATCTACTGCGGTGGCTTGTGGATGAGGAATTTTCGTGCAGAAGCGTGGCAGCTGAGAGTTGCGGGAGTTTGCAAAGAGGTCGATGTAATGGGGACCCCAACGTCGTTCTAAGATGCGGAACCACGGCGTCTTCAACGAGTAGTCGTCATGATCGACTGCTTTTGAGAGCTCATCGGCGTGTGAGTTTAGCTCGCGTGGGATCCATTCGATGATTAGACGCGTGCCGTGCTCCATGCATGTCCGAATGATGCCTTGGCAGGCCGTGGTAAGGTCGGGGCTGCGCGAGCCACCTTTGCGAAGGATGAAGAAGACGCCCTGATTGTCCACCCGCACAAGAACATGTTTGTGCGTGATCTTGCTGGAGTATGTTTGGAGTGCCCAAAGCACTCCTTCGATCTCCCTCCGTGTGCTGGACGTCGCTCGCAGCGGCTCTGGCATTGTTGCGCTAGCTTCTTCAAGGCCGCCAGGGAATGTGGTCAAAGTGGCGCCCCAACTGTGAGCGCTAGCATCCACATGGATCACAGCATCGTAGCTGTTTCGAACGTGAAACGGTGCACCGTTGAACCTATCAAACTCCTCGAGCCAGAAGTTTAGCTCCTCGGCCGCGGGTGGGGGGATGATCACGCTGCTTTTCCATGAAGGTGCGTCATTGATCACTTGTAGCATGGCGTGGCTGAAAGCACGAGCTGTTGCGCCCAGCGCGACGCCCATTGACGCGAGCATGCCTGTGATTCTGGCCACTTGGCGGACTGGGACGGGTCGACATGCCTTGCTTGCATTCAACAGGTTCCGAATGGTTGCATGTAGTGAGGCTCGTCGTTCGGGACCGATGGTAAATCGACCGGTGGCCGTGTCCAGCTCCACACCCAAGAATCGAAGGTGTTGCGATGGTGACAGCTGTGATTTCTTCGCATTTATCACCAAACCCGGTGCTTTAAGGTCCAGTATTACACGGTGGCAAGTGGCCTGCGCGTGGGCTTTTGACTGGCAGAGGAATAAGATGTCGTCCACGTATGGTACTACTCGAATGCCTTTCTCCCGCCAGCGACGGGCTAGCTGCTTGATGAGTTGCGTGAAGACGAATGGGGCTGTCGCAAGACCGAACGGCAATGAACGAAAGGAGTAAGTGCGCCCATCGAATCCAAAACCGAGAAACTTCCAGCATGAGGGATGGATGTCGATGTGATGGTACCCGGATTTGAGATCAATAGAAAACATCCAATCCCCAGCGCGTGCCACGTCTGCCACGCGGCTGAGTCCTTCGTACTTGAATTTTGGAACTATGAGGTTTGCGTTGACTTTTCTCAGGTCGAGGATGAGCCTGCATTTTTCTCTTTGCTCGACCACGTTAAGTGGGCTTATGCACGTAAGCTCGCTTGCGGTTGTCTCGACTGCTGCTCCAGTCTCTGTGAGTTCTTGGATGGCAGTACGTGTGAACGTAGCATGCGCGTATGCACCAGCGTGGTTACGCTCCCGGAAGGCCTGTGGTGGACCGTGGCTCCATGGGAGCCAGTAACCGTTGGCGATTATGGATAGGATGAGGCTGCAAGGGCACCATGAGCTCCACCACGCAAAGGTCGAGCGAAGCCGACCGCACATCCGTGTGACGGTTTTGTCCGTGACGGCGAATTCGTATGGGCCATCGTCGCGAGGCACCTCGTATTGTTGTGCTCCTGTATGTACGACAAGGAAATGAACGGGACCAATCAAGTTACACGCCTTAATTAGTGAATGCGTGTGACATATACATGCATGCGCGAAAGATGAACCGTCAACAGTGAGAACCATACGGACGGTTTGTCCTCATTCCATATAGGGCGTCCGATCGCACCTTTGCAAACTCTTTCCCATACTCTCTCCCGTTCCCTCCCCTCTTCGTTTTTGTTTTTGTTTTTGTTTTTGTTTTTTGTTTTTTTCTTTCTTTTCTTTTTTACCTTGCTGTAGGATTGATGCTTGGGACCATGATCATGCTCCCCTCTTGATCTCTCTCTCTCTCTCTCTCTCTCTCTCTCTCTCTCTCTCTCTCTCTCTCTCTCTCTCTCTCTCTCTCCCTCTCTCTCTCTCTCTCTCTCTCTCTCCCTCTCTCTCTCTCTCTCTCTCTCTCTCTCTCTCTCTCTCTCTCTCTCTCTCTCCCTCTCTCTCGCCCTTTTTGGTTTTCCAAAGGTTGAACCAGAGCTGCCCATCCTTGCCATGCATGGTGGCGGTTTGAGTGAGGAACGTGCGTACTCTCTTTTTCGCCCCCACCCTTTTGTTTCTTGTTTTTTTTTTTTTTTTTTTTTTTTATCCTTCACAAACCAGAGGGGGCCTTAAATAAAATCCCTATCTCTCATGGTCATACATTGTCATGCCTACTAGCATGCTTCTCCTCCCGTCAATTGGGGCATACGGGGGACCGAGAGGCATTCTTCCTCTTCCCCAAAGCTAGGCCTACGGCCATACTTTATATCCTTATCCTAGGGGACCGAGAGGCATTTTTCCTCTTCCCCAAAGCTAGGCCTATGGCCAAATTCTACCACCCTATCCTAGGGCTGGCCATGGCCATCGCAAGCCCTACTAGGCTGCCCACGGTCTAAGCACTCAAGAGTGCACCGTGCATCGCGGCTAGTGGCGCGCTTCGCCATAGCCCGAACCCTACACAACCGGTGCGGGTCCTTGGCCCCCATGCCCATTCCGAGGGCAGGCATTGGCGACGTGGCCTGGCTGGCCGCAGCGGAAACACGAACCACGAAAGCCTTGGAAGTTGCCCGAGGTTGGAGGGCCACGTTTTGGAGCGAACGCCATGGCGCCGTGGTTTCCACCACGGTGGGAGCGAGCGTGAGCGCCCGCCGCTCGGTCCATGGCAGCCACGTCTGCGACGGCTTGCTTGAACGGCCGCGAGGTGAGAAGACTTTTCTGCAGGTACATTTTGTAGCGCTTGGCCACGCGGTCGTCGGCGGCGTCTTCGACTTGAAACATGTCGAAGCGCGCGGAAATGTCGTCGAGGGCGGCGACGACCATTTCGAGTCCGCCCGCCAAGT